CCCGCGCGCAAGAGAACCGAACCCACGGAGCCTAGCAAACTTCGTGTGAGTGAGTGAACAGAAGAACCCACGGAGCCTAGCAAATTTCGTGTGAATCCTTGACCGATCTCAGAGCTCTTCTACCCGGGTTCGAGTCCTGCAGGTTTACTTTCCCATCGCTGAAACCCTTTGCGACGTACCCTCGTATTTTTCATCTTCCCGTCGCCGGAACCCTTTGCGACGTACCCTCGTGCCCTGCAGGTTCGAGTTTTGTTTTCTTTTCTGTCTGTAACCGCAACTCAAGCAAGCTTTCCAGCCTGCACCACTGCCATCTCGGTGTAAGTAAACAATCTTTTAAACTACCGATACGCGTTTGTGCCTAATTCCAGCTCGACGGCCTTCCCTCTCCAACCCGGCGTGCCCGGGCTGCTGGCCACAGCCCGCGTGCAGCGCGGAAAAGGGCTCGGGTCACTCCCGGCCCGCACATCAGGTAGAGAGAGACCTGGGCTAAGCTCTGCAGAACTCCCTGCAAAAGAAAACCTTGGGCAAACACTTCATCTCAGTCAGTTCCCTATCTGCAAAATGTTGATGAAAACACTTCTCTTCTGCTCTTTATCACATCTGTTCAGACTGAAAGAAAATCAAGTCAGGAACTATGCTACTGAATGTTAGAATACAGTCGAGGTCTACAAGTGTCCCGTTTGAGCTGGGGTTTCTAGGCGCTTTATAAACACAGCAGAATATATAAATAACACCACAAATAACGAGACCACAATCAGTCCTTCGCTTTGGCCAACACAGGAGTATTGCTCATTCTCACCTGCCAGTTCTAATCCTATTCTTTTAAAACTCTTGTTTTGTGCCTATGAGCAGCAAAAGATGTTTTAGATTCCACTTTGTCTGATCCAATTTAGAATCCATCTGGTATTAAAACTTCTCTACTGTAGGTTATGTTTGTCAAAGAAACGGCAGAACATTTCACTATCGGGAAATTTTCCTTTTTAAGGACATCTTAATAACAATATTTATATGCACTACCTCCAAAAGTTTCAAACACACGTGGAACATGCTTTCTTTGTGGTTTAGAGAAGTTATACAAATTACATTATTTTTAACTGTATATACTAATTGTTACTATGAAGTCCTTTCAATGTGAAGAGTTCCTTCCAGTCAGACTGGAAAACCAGCATTCTGCATTAACTAAACTTCTCTCATCAGGTTCTTCTAATTTTAGAGGTTTGTTTAGAAACTCAAAAATATTTTATAAAGGAACTGCTTTTTACATTTTCAGTTTTACACTTTAATATTAAGGTTTCCTTCTGTAGTGGGTATTTTACCTACTGGCAAGTTACCATGATTTATATCTACTCCCTCCAGCTTCACACAAATTGTTACCATGCCCTAGACTAGGGTAGGGGTCAGCAACCTATTAGGAACAGCAGATGAAATGAATGGCGCTAGATCAAAGGCAGACTGCCACATTTGAGCTGGCAGCCACTGCTGCTCCCCTCTGCACCCTACACTGCAGTCAAACTGCTGCCACCTCCCCATACATTGCTGCCAACCTCTTGGCTTCGTGGGCCAGATACAATCACCTGACAGTTCAGGCCACAGATTGCCAACCTCTGCCCTACGTCATCTATCACAAAGTTGGAGCATCTTTCATTGCCTGTCTATGTCCCAACACAAACCCACCTCTTCTTTTGCCTTTTTTGCTTCACCCTGCCTACGTATAATCCTCCTGTTTGTTGCTAAAACCCTGGCCAGTTGGAAGGCACATTATGAATCACTGAAATACATGCATTCGCTTGTAGACATTAGAAACGCCAATATAAATTAACAGACATTAAGGCAATAAAGATCATTCGATCAATTAGTCTAACCTCTGCATAATATAGGCTACATATATTCACTCCGTTATTCCCATTTTGAGTGTACAAACAAAGTATATCAATCTGGAAAGAAATCCATTTCAAGACATCAGGAGATGCACCTCTCCCCCTCACTAGTTTGTTCCAATGGGTGGTCAGCCTCATTGTTACAAGTGTACCTTATTTCTAGTATGAATTTACCTGGCTTCAATTTCTAGTCATTAGCTCTTGCTAGGCCTCTCTCTGCTAGATAACAGAAAGCATTTGTACCTCGTATTTTCTTCCCCTGAAGTTACCTATAAACTAATCAAAGCACTTCTTGACGTTTTGAATCTTCATTCTGTTTCGCCTAATGTACTTTACTGATTATCATCACAGAGAGGGAAGCTAGAACAGCATTTCAGCTTGGCACTTCTGCACTTGAGAGAGTATTTAATGCATCGCTTTGCCCTTCTAGCTATCGTATGTTTTTGTGAAGCTTGTTTTAGAGGACCGTGGTCAGCCGAGATCCACAATCAAGTCTTTTCAGAAGGTCTAACATTAAGAAACTCACTTGCAGATACCATTGCAAAGCATAGCTGTTATACCTACATGCATTCTGAAGCCCAAGAAGGGTTTGTTGCCCAGGACTCATAACCAAGTTGGTTGGTGCCACAGTGTATTTGAAATACCTCCAGAAATCGAACAGGGCATTCAAGCTGAACAGAGATGCAAGTGCAAGTTCTGGAACAACATTTAAAAAAAAACAAACATTATTTGAAAAAAAATAGTTCTCTCTTTTAGAAAACGCAGTCCATGAAAAATGTCCTCATTTTATTGACAATGTTTTATGTTATTTTTCAGCTCCATTATTAGGGGCATTACCATGGCAAAAGTTTCATAGTTGGTAGGGTCGGAAGCAGATCTGAGTAGATCATCAAGTCCGACCCCCCTGCCGTGGGCAGGAAAGAGTGCTGGGGTCAAATGACCCTGGCAAGGTATCTATCTAGCCTCCTTCTGAAGACCCCCAGGGTAGGAGTGAGCACCACTTCCCTTGGAAGTTGGTTCCAGATCCTAGCCGCCCTGACTGTGAAGTAGCGCCTCCTGATATCCAGCCTGAATCTGCTGTCTGTCAGCTTATGGCCATTATGCCTTGTTACTCCCAGTAGTGCTTGGGGGAACAGGGACTCTCGCACTGCCTGCTGGTCTCCCTTGGCCAGTTTACAGATGGCCACCAGGTCCCCTCTCAGCCTCCTCTTGTGGAGGCTGAACAGGTTCAGGTCCCGTAGCCTCTCCTCGTAGGGCCTGCCCTGCTGCACCCTGACCATGCGGGTGGCCTCCTCTGGACCCTCTCCATGCTGTCCACATCCCTCCTGAAGTGCGGCGCCCAGAACTGGACGCAGCGCTCCAGCTGCGGCCTGACCAGTGTCATATAGATGGGGAGGATCACCTCCCTGGACCTGCTTGTGATGCATCTGTGGATTACTGTGCGTTATTGTGCATTCTGGGTATCATACTTCTCAAGCCATACATTTTGTTAAATAGTCTATCACTAATATCTGATTCTCTGCTCCCCTTCTGGATGGCTAATTTATATTTTAATTGTCTTAAGGCAGAAACTTTGTTTTGCTACTCTTGTGAAATACTATCCATACCTATAGTACAATAGCAGCAACACAACTCTAGTCTCTTGCTTCACAAAAGCTTCACCTCACATCTAACTTAATATGAATTACCAGATTAGCCTTTTCAGCTGTAATCTGCCATATTTTTACATGGCACACTAAAGACAATTGATACATGTCCAGTCAGCCACCATTTAGGAGTTGGGAGAGAACCCCAGATTATTTTCCATGTCCACAGTGGATCACAGTCAGGTGTCTATATAACCAAAAAAGCTGGCTTAAAAACCCCCCACAACAAATACAGACAGGAAAGCTGAAGATAAAGGGTGAAAATACAATTTAGATACTGTTCTCCCACACAAGAAAGAAACCACAATGTAATTCCTTACCAATATACCACAGTGGCCAGTATGTAATGTTATAATATGAGCTTATCAGTTTTCCAGTCCTAAAAGAGAAAAAACAATTGAGATAAAATTTCTTTGAGCCCAAGCACATGGAAATATGTAGGAAGACATAGTGACTGCTTTATTTGTTTGTATTAACTGTTGCAATAAACTTACATTTCAGTATAAATCATGCCAGCAACTGATACATTAAGGAGCCCCCAGGCGAAGACCACTTTCCGGGCTTCTGTCTCCCTTCTCATCTTGATGGTTCTGTCAATGAGGGAAGTCGCTGGACTTTGTTCGTTGTTCATCGTCTGTAGTAAGAGAAGCACAAGGAAAGCCCACACGAGTTTAGCTAAGTATGCAGAGCATCTCCTTCAATACCCAATTAAACAAAAACATGCCTTGGTGAATCACATTTAGGGATTTTCCTTCTAAACGGTAACTGGTAAACAGAACTCTGTACCTACTTTTTGGGCTAAAAATATCAAATCTTTTTGAAGTGGTCCCTACCGTGAACATTTCCTACTCATTATGGCTGCAGTACGGTGCTACTCTCACCAACTGCTTGTAAGGAAAGACGCTACGTAACAGGATGGAGGGCTGGATTTCGATCTCACCCCAATTAAGAGACAGTCATTCTCCATTTGTACTGGGGTAAAACAGCAGAATGAGACTCACGGTATCAAATGCCTACAAATTTGCTTTCCACTTCAGACTTGCTTTATAAAAAGTTCTTCCCCTGTTTTTTAGGGAATAAAGCATGGGGATGGGGGGAGTCATAAGAATTAAGCAGCTGTTCAGGACACTGGACAGATAGTTTCATAGTCGTTAGGGGCTGGACAGGACCTTACAGATCATCGGGTCCAGCCCCCCTGCACGTGGGCAGGAAAGACAGCGGGGACCAAATGACAGCATCCTTTCATGAGGGAAAGACAAGGATTTTATATTCTCTAGCCCCTGGGGAGTCACAGAAAGGAGAGACCTGGCAGGACCCTGCAGTCTTCCTGCACAAAGCATTCCCTTTCCCTTTAATGGACGCAAACGTTTGTAATGCAGACTTCGCTCCTAAAATCCCTGCAATACCCTCAAAAGCTTGAGCTGTAGCTCATAGCGTTTATGACGATAATAGTTTTCTCCTTTTCAAAGGATGGGATTTCTCTATTCCAAGTATTATTGTCATCGTCGCTACCCCCGTCACCACCCTTCCTCCACCATCATCTCCCGAAACGCTTGCCGGGCTCCTACACCGAGGTGGAGAAGACTCGGGGAGCGCGCGCGCCTGCCCGCCGCGCAGAATCGTGCTAGTCGCAGCTCAGCTGCGAAGCCCCCGGATGCTAGCATCGCACAGCATTGGGGTGATCTTTTTTTTAGTACTTTCGGTATCTTCTGGGCACTTCGTGGGCAGTCCGGACCCTAGCATGGCAGCCCCAGCCTCCTCTGACCCCGTCTCCTGCTTTCTGTGGCCAGGGAGCTCGTCAGACGGGCGGTGTCACTGAGTGCGAGCCCAGGATCGCTCCTGCTCTTCTAAAGGGCAGACAGTGCAGACCCGGCGTCCGAACGGGGCACGGGGGCTGCATGCATCGCTAAGGGGGGCGTGGGGGGCCGAGCCTCCTGCCGGCAGGACTCGCACTCGGAGCCCCCAGCCCTGTGGGTGAGCTGCCGCCAAGCAAAGCAGGGGACACCCCCAAGAGAGGGGGCTATGGTAGCACCCAACTGGCCTCAGAGGGAACCAGACCCCGCATTGGTACGGCTCATCCAGCCCCCAAGAGGGAGCCAGACCCCCCATTGGTATGGCCCATCCACCCCCAGAGAGAGCCAGACTCCCCCATTGGTACGGCCCATCCACCCCCAGAGGGTGCCCCCCCATTGGTATGGCCCATCCACCCAGAGAGCCAGACCCCTCGTTGGTACAGCCCAACCAGCCCCCACAGAGGGAGCCAGACCCTCCAATGGTACGGCCCACCCAGCCCCAGCCCCCACTATTGGTACAGCCCATCCAGCCCCAGCTCCCCCAGTGGTACGGCTCATCCACCCCGAGTGCCCACTAGCGGTACGGCCCACGCAGCCCCAGCCCCCACAGTGGTACGGTCCCCCCAGCCGGGGGAGGGGAGGGGGCAGACAGAAGCCCCCCAACACTCACCCCGCCCACGTGAGGCGCC